TTTTCTTTTAGTTCCCACTTTCTCTAAAACTTTGTCCTTGCTCACATGCTCACTCCATGGTATTCTCAGCATCCTTCTGTAGAATCTCTTTTATGTTGCTTCCTGTCTCTTCTTCATCTTTGGGGAGATTGCTCAGCACTCACTGCCATACAGAAGGACAGTTGTAAATTTTTGAATTTTATTCAATTTAGATGTAATGTCACCTTAGCATGAAGTGTACAGAGTTTTATTCTCACTGAGTACCACATATTTGGTGGCTTGTGCAAAAACTAAGGGAAGCTTAGTAAATAACCCAAAGTACTGAAATTCTTAGATGACACTGGTTGTCATGTTGTCATTCAGCATTCTTACTTAAAAGTAAACCAATTCCACATGAGTTTTTAAATTTTCTTTTTAAATAAGAAGGAAAAAGAGGTAGTTAATCAAAATGTTATATAATTTAACCACACCAATTAAATAGACTATAAAAATAGCATAGTAAAAAATAGAGAAAAATTTTCTGTGAAATAATTTTTTGTAGATTAGCATTTTTATTTATCAAAATTAAAAAATATTGATGTTTTTAACAATTTAGAGAAGTTGGGTCATGTTCATGATACAGTGTAAAATCGATCCCTGACTTTTACAGAGTTATCTGCACTTCATTTTTTTTTATTTAGAAATCTTGTGTATTGAAAATGTGCTCTTATGTTATTGATATCTGCATATTTTTTTAGATTTTGTATATTTTTGTAAAAAAAAAAAAAAAAAAAACTATTTCGCCAAACAGTTACTTGTTTAAAATAATTTCCTAAAAATTTATATATCAATTTGTTCTTTATTCAAAAGAAATATTTTTGTAAAATAAAAAAAATCTGTTTTTGTACGCAGATATCAATGATGTGTAAAGCAGTGTCAAACTTGACATTTGTAAAGAAACAGGTTCCGATAACTCTGTAAAAGATCAGGGATCGCTTTTACAATGTATCGAACAGTTATGAACAAGATCTCTTCTAAAATGATAAATCAATATCTTTTGATTCTAACAAGGAAGATCTTTAGCCTAAAGTATTCTAATCTACAAAAACAAATGAAAAAATGTTCTCTATTTTTATGAGTAGGCCAGTCTTTTTTTTTTAAGTAGTGACAATTTAGTCAAAAAAACAAGGATACAAAAACTTATTTTAAAAGAAGCATTTCGATAAAAAAAAAAAAAAACAGACGAAATCATTCCCATCGGGACTTTTTTTTATACTTTCAATTCAATTCATCGGAGCTGAGTTAAAAATTAGTTTTTCTCAAAATCAAAACTGTTGAATTTGCGAAAGTAAGTTCGCCATGGATCGAAAACACAATCTTACAACAAAGAGATGTTTTCAATTTTTATCAAATATCTGACTGTGCTTTTTAATTTATTTGACTATTTTGCAAAAAAATAATAAAATAAAATTTTGGTGTACTTATCTTTGTTTTGATTATTTAAATTAAATATCCCGAGTAAATTTTACATACTTTTTTTTTAATTTACAAAATAATATTCATAATGAATTAATTTCTTTACTTTTTTTCACAAAGGCTGAAAATATCAGCTGACTTGTACTTTTCCATGGTTTTTTAAACACATCTCAATGTGAGTCTTTTTTTGTACCTTTCCATTTTCAGAGGTTTAACACACCTAAGGATTTTTTTTTATTAATTAAACACACCTAAAAATGTGTGTATGTTCTTTTCCCTTTTTTTAGCCTTTTAAATGTGTGTGAACTTACACTTCTTTTCAAGGGTCTTTTTCACCACACGATGTAAAATATCCAAACAAATTGTTATTTGTTCATAAACAAATCTGTATCTTCTTTTTCATTTTAAATTCACTTGCCTTGCTTCATCATTGTGTTGTACGTTTATTGCTTTATTCCGGACAGCACGCGGAATAATAATTATCTTAGACGAGTAACCCCCAACAACCAAAAACACTTTCTGCCCTCCATAAATCAACTCCCATAAATAAATGCTTCTGAGAAAGTCGGAGCACCCAGCAGACTTCTACTGAGTATTACTATTATTTAATTTAGGAAATTTGAGATGCGTATCTTCCAAACGATCAAATTTTTTAAATATTTTTTTTTTGATGAAAACAATTTTAAAATTCTACCATCCAATAGATCGATTGTTAAAATATGGCTTGTTAAAAAAACAAAAAAAACAACAGGAGTTTGACTCGTTTGAGGATTTAAAATGAATAATGCAAAAAAAAACTAGTGAAATCAACATTTGCAAAAAACATACAAGTGTTGAAAGAATTCCAGCATTTCTTTTTCGAAAATATAAAATAAGATAACAAGAAAGTTAACCAACAAAATTTCAACAAAAACTCAATTAGTACACACACATCATAACATTAAAAAGGTCAATGAGTGAAAAAATGTTGGATGCGTGTGCGTGGGCACGTATAAGTGTGCGTGACGATGTTCTGGTGTTTTTGTTTGACAGGAAGAAAGTTTGTATACGTTTGAGTGGGCACGTACGTGAACGAGTCCTCAAGTGAGGAAGAGACTACTGAATAGGAAAATGTATTATTACTCAATCAATGGTATTTTTACGACTGTGGAAGAGGATAAGGTACATACAGTAGTTTCACCGGGTTTACTTCTGCCAGAGAAATTGAAAATAAGGTATTTTTGTGGGTTATCTGTTACCACTTTTTATAAAGTTAGAAAGTGGTATTTATTTTTTCAGACTGCTAGCCTAAAGAAAAGCTAAATAAATCTTTCTTTGGGACCTGCCAAGAAATGAAGTGGGCGCTGTCCTCCTGCTTCAAGGTAAAGGGATCCCCCCAACTAAAAAGCACTGTAAAAATGGTCATCCAATGAAGCTCTACTTCGGTTCAAGGATCTGTTTGGAAGTGTCGGAGTTAACTCCTCCTTTAGTACATTAACCCTTTCACCAGGGGTCTCTCTTCCCTGGCTATAAATAGCCGCTGACCCTTCGCCTCTATCTCTTTTTTTCCTTCTAAATCTCTCCTTTTCATCAGGCTTTCAGCTTACAACCTCGAAATGTAGGCGCTAACAAGGGATAGCGTGGAAAAACGCTAAGCACAATACACACACACACACACACAGAATATTCCCATACACTTCATCCTTTGTACTGTTTCCATGTATTGTAACTTGTTATTAATATATATTTGTATATACATATATTATTGGTCTTGTGTTTTGTTTGCTTTCTTTGCCTTCTTCTTTGGACTTAATCAAAGTCCAACCTTTTTATGTAGTTGGGCCCGGCGGGCAGGAGAATCTGAACCTTACATGCGTTCCTTCTACATTTGACTTCCCAACATCACAGCCACGGCCCTCTACAGAAGCGTAACACGAAGAACTGCAAGCAGCAAATTGGTCTTCGCACTGGGAACTGGCTGTCAAATTCACGCCTTTAACTTGATACTTGGAGAAATAAATATAATTTAAAATAAAAAAACAATTTTTTATGTATCTGTATTTGCGGAAAATTTGGAAAAATAATATAAAAAGTGGCAACGGATAACCCACAAAGTATCGAAAATCATTAGCTCGAGCATCGGTGGTGGGCCATCCTTCCCAAGCACTACCTCTCATTCGGGTTGGGGCTGAAGTCATTTGTCTGGCACCTGAGGCGTTTCCAAAACGGTAAATTCTGACGTGAAGGATGAGGCCTTGTGCAATTTTCTATGTTTTTTGGGTTTTTTTTGCCGATAGCCCATATTAAAACTTCGACCTGGTTTCACATTTTGTTGCGACGTGTACGCGCGGAAAAAGGTTTTTCAGAGCGTCCATGTCGCTGCCTCAGGTTAACCACGGGACACGTTCGTTCGTTGGTTCTCCCCTCCCCACAAAATTATAAAAATACGGGAAATGAATATATATATATATATATATATATATATATAGGAAATGGATATATATATATATATATATATATAGAAATGGATATATATATATAGGAAATGGATATATATATAGGAAATGGATATATTTATATGTGTGTGTTATGTATATATATATGTGTGTGTGTGTATATATATATATATATGAGAAAATATATAGAAAATAGGAAGGAACTGGTTAGGTAAATAATCCAAAGTCCCTTAGTATTTTAGTTATTATTTTTAAAAAATAGTGCTCGAGGCTATGCCGAAAGGCAGAATCTCGTTTGAGGAGGTAGACAAACCCGACCCCACGTGGTCTACGGACTCGGAACACTCTGTAGTCCTCGGTCGAGTCCATTATGGTACAACACACACATGTAGCGGGCGGTCCAGTGGCCCCGTTTCACAGAAAGGGGTGAACGAGGTCACAAGAGGCCCGCTAACATTTTTGAAGACGTTAAATCTGACGGTGAAACAATATGGACGACAGAACGAGGATATGTACGATATATAGAGGTTTATTCTAAAAGGAAAAGGAAATGAAGATGGTCGGAAACGGTGGAGGTGCTGGAAGCTGCAGGAGTGAGCTGGATGCTTCAGGAGTGCTGGAAGCTGCAGGAGTGAGCTGGGTGTTGCAGGTCTGCTGGTTGCTAATCGTTGAATATGCCTCGTTTGCGTTGTGTCGCCATATTGTCGGGGTCACCACTTGTAGCGGGCGGTCCAGTGGCAAGTTGTCACACTGATTCCAGTGGTGTTGTGTCGAGAGAGGGTGCCTTTAACAGCAATGTTCGTGGTATTGTCTGATAAAATCCTCGTGTTCATGTGCACGACTAGATCATAATGGGCCAGGAAATCTGCCCCGAGTATTGGCGTTTTCACGTCTGCCTGGGTGAAAGTCCAGGTAAAATCGCGACGCATACCGATGTTAAGAGTCAGTGTCTTGGCTCCATATGTCTCGATCGTCGAGCCGTTTGCTGCCTGGAGTTTATACGGGGTCGCCTTTCGGTCTTGCCGTTCTTTGGGGGTTATTGCTGCTCCTGTGTCCACTAAAAACTTTATGTGGTTCCGCGGCATCGTATGTTTTTGCCGGGGGGTTCTGCCGCTCCTACCCGCCGGCTGTTTAGTTTTCCGACTTGGTTTCGGAGATGCAGGGTGCCGAGCAATTCCTTGCCCTGGTGCCGAATCTGTGATGGTACCAGCATAATTCCGGGTCGACTCGTCGATCCCTGCTGGCACTCCGTGCTCTCCGTCGCCAACCACCGGCATCGGGCCTCTCGATTTGCGGGAAAGGAGCATTCGTATATCCTGCAGCTGATGTTGCAGGTTCCAGATCCGTTTTTTTCCAGTTCCGTTTCTTTGGCTGTTGTGTCGTCTGGGTCCAGTTTAGTTGCGATCGGTCAGCGGAGTTTGCCAGTGGAGTATTGTCAGCGATTGGTGCCAATATCTGCGTTATGGTAGTGGGTAACTTGTCCATCCACAGTTCGCGGCTCCTCATGAAGCGTAGAAGCTGTGAGGGTGTTTTGTCGCCCCTGGTGACGTTGGTAAAAGTTCCCGGAGCAGTTCCTCGTCCGAACGGCCGGTTCGTTTCAGAATCGCATCCTTGAGGCGAGTATGGCTCCTGCTCGGGTATATGTTCCAAGATGTCGGCTACTTCATCGACAACTGAAGGTGGCAAAACTTGTACCACGTTGGCGAATTTTGCTTGCTGTGAAGTTATTCTCCGTACTGAGAAAATCGCTTCCAACTGCAGAAACCAGTTCTTGGTGTTCTGTTCGTTGTACGGAGGGAGGTTTGTTAGGGACATGGCTACATTTATGAGAGTGTTCTGTTCCCACTCGTCAGTTGCCATCTTGCTCTTGTAAATATCGGGGTCACCACTAGTTGTTGTAGTTCGTGTTGCCAGCTTGTTTGTCATTGCCGGGATGCCAACTTGAGAGAGAGAAAGAAAGTTCCCAACTATCGTCAAGTTGACAAAAAAAAGTGGGAGCGTAACTTAATACACAGCCCGTTGGTCGGCGTCCTTGGCCAATGAAGGCCAAGGGGCCTGCGTAGCCGACCGCCTCCCTGAATCTAGGGAGAAATCACTCTTGTGACGAGGGGGACCAGCAAGAAATTGGCTAAGCTAACCGAAAAGTCTCTATAATAAAATACTACAAAGGTTAGTTAGAGAACTATGGTCTAAAATGACTAGTAGTATATTACAACTAGGGTTTGTAATATAGCCTAACTAAAAAAGGGATTTGCTAGTCCCTCTGACGTGTTAACAGTGTGTAAGGAGCATGAATGAGAGGTCAAGGTCGAAATGACCTGTTCCTCTGCCGGTTCAAGGATAGGAGGAGGAGGTAACTCCGACACACACGCAGTTCGAGGACGCTTCCGCGCATGCTCGTTACACACCCCACGTTAAAAGCTGGCCTTGTGCCACATCTTACCTTGTGGGGAGGTTGGTAAATAAATAGAAAAGTAGGTATATCCAAGATTTTCATTTTACCAGCGTACGACCGCGATTGATTGTAATTAGATGCAAAATACATACGTTTTTCCAAAATAGTTCAGTAAAGTGACTAGCCACCGTTTTTTTTTTAAATTACCAAAAATTAGGGGATTATCCGAAAAGAAATTTTCAGCAGTATGAGAATGAAAACTTATACTGAATAATACTAATTATAATAGATTATTTATAACAAATATTTGTAAAAATATTTATTGGTCAGTTTTCCTCCCCCTTTTCGATATTGTGAGTTTTTAAACGTGTTGGTGGTGCTCTAAGATGTTCGGGAAATATCTTCTTTCTTCCTTTTTTTTTTCTTTTTTTGTTTGTTCTTACAATGTTTTCTTTTTATACAATTGTTTATCCATTTTTACAAGGAGCCACTTGTGACTTAAGGTAGATGGTTACTGAATGAGGTTGTTATGAAATGTTATTTTCTTCATATTTTCTCAGTCCAGAAGAGATTTACAGCCACATTACACTGAAACATTGGCTCCCGTACGATTACCGAAGTTAAGCAATATTGAACCTTAGTACTTAAATGGGTGACTGCTTGGAAATAGGTGCTGTAAGCTTGGATCTGTGGGTGGTGTAATGGATAATAGTTTGGAATTATTAAACGGAGACCCATTGGATTTGTTATATTCACTTACAAATTGTAAATACCATTGGGAAAGTTATGAATCCACCTCTTTTCCCCCCAGCTATGGATTTAAGAATTGTATCACTAAATTATTATTATATTAAAAATAATTCTAATGATCTAAAAATTTTTTCTGGATTTAAATACCATGCAAAGGGTTGATAAGTCATAGAAAATGAATGAAACAGTCAATAAAAAAAAATACTTCAGGCCAAAAGCAAACGTCTGTGCCAAGAAGCTATACATATTGGTATTTTTCAGTTCACCCACATTACTACTGGATGTGAAACAAGATCATTTTAAAGTGGATTTAACAGCAATAGTTATGAATCCACTTCATTTCCCCCCAACTATGGATTAATTATTCCCATTAAGCCATAGAAAATAAATGAACCAATCAGTCCAGTGGTAGTTTTTAATCTCGCTTACCTCCTCTTACTGCCTGGGCACTTACATAGTCTCTATGCCTTAGCTATGCTAATTAGGCAGTTATTTACATATCACTACAGTTATTGTAAAGGCATAAAAAGATTAAATAAAAAGTACATATGAATATATGTGAGATAGATAATGGTTAACCTGTGGGTTACCCCAGTTGTCTTTGTCAGTTGCCTGTTAGTGGGTGCTCTTTAGGTCTATTCAAACGTCAACAGAGGACCAAGGAAGTTAACATGCCCTATCATCAGCATTCTTTATGTACGTTAGACTACATCCAGAAACAAGAGGAAAATGAAGGAAATGTTTGACTTTTTATAGACCTAAAGAGTGTCCTTTAATGTTGCGTAGCCCCTTGGTGGGAGTGATCTTGGTGACGACATCGCTTCAATAATAAAATTGCATTCTTCTCTTTCGGACAGTGATCACTAGTTGTTTTGGTTCAGAGATAAAAGAACTTCAGCACATGAAATTTTAACTGAGCTAGTTTATTAACATCGACATATACATCATCTAATTATCCAGTGGTGTCATTCTCTCACTCCACTGGGGAGCAGTTCTATACACGTATGGAAACACATGTACATTGTTCAATGGTTAAGAAACACCTCCTTGAAAAACTTTTCTATATCTCTCTCATTCCCACACTTGTTCAGCCAATCAAAATTGACTTTCTTATTTTATTTTCCATCTGACCTCTAAGGTTAAACTGAGGAAGTCTAAGCAGAGATACTATTCTCCCTAAAAATAATAGTCTGCTAAACTATTAATTAACACTAATAGGCATTTTGTCAAAGCAAGAAGTGGGGTAACACACAAGACTTAGACATGAAGAGGTTAAGTTTGAAGTGACTGAAGAAGCATACTCTTAGGAGTCTGTTCCAAAAAGTAATAGTTCATGGAATACAAAGGGTATAAGGATACCAATGCTGAGTATGTGGCATGACAAAAGACTCAAGAATGAAGTACATCTGAATATTTGGTATGAAAGTAGCGACAGAATAGTGAGAAGCTTACAATGTTTCAGCTATGAGAAATGAGAAAATAATTCATCACCCACAATTACAAGGCTGTGTAAATGCTTCTGAACCCAAGAACTGAAGACTGGAAAGTGAGGGATTGGGCAGCTTCAGCCTAATATGGGGCAATATATGGAAACAGATCATTGGATATATATATATATATATATATATATATATATATATATATATATATATACCCAACACCAATATCAAGATACATCCACCTCACCTGTGATAGCCATAACATAATCTACTATTTATTCTGCACCTTATGTCCTAATAGTGGATATATTAGTGAATCTGGAAATAATTTTAGATTTCGCTTCAACAATCATAAACAAACCATATGTCAAAACAATCCTTATTGACCCATAGCTGAACAGTTTAATCAATCAGGACACTCATTAGAAAACTGTAAATGTTTATTGATAGATTCTGATTTCAGTTCCACATACACATGCAGAAAAAAAGAAAAATACTGGATTTTAAAATTAAATACCTATAAACTAGGGTTAAATAAAGACTTGGGTATTTTAAATCTTTATAAATATTTCAATAGTTAAACATTTTTTTAGACATAGTTAAAAATTTTTTTATTTTTTTAAACAACATCTAAAATATTATTACAGTTTACGTTAAGAATATTTGAACACAGTGGCCTTCCATATCACGAGACATCCACGTCTTGCGATGGGCACTACTTGTAAACAAACAGTTATTTCTGAAGAAAGATTGTGGTCAATCTGAAATATCAAATATATATATAAATAAATAAATACATTCATAAAAAAACATTATTATTTTTTCAATTTGCAACTTTTTCTATATATACATATTAAGAAAGCATATGTGGCTTCTCATTATGCTATATATATATATATATAGTGATTTACTAAGTGAAACTTAGATGTGGCACAAGGATGAATGTATGGAGCACCATGTGAGGATCAAACACACTACTAAAAGTAGTAATTGATATGGTGAGACAAGCTTGCTAAAAATTACCTCACACCGAAGTGCTCAGATATATATATATATATATATATATATATATATAAAGTAGTTGAATGGGAAAAAACTATGTAACACAATTTGTCTTTCATTAGAATAAAGATTCTTATTGATGGAAAATATATATTTGTAGGGTATATTTTATATATATGTGTTTGTTGCCTTATTTGAGTTCAGCAGCAGTATACAACAAGGTCTAAACTAGTAAAAGTAAAGAATGGTAAACATCTGAACCTTGAAATAGTAAGAGAGTAGTGTTGTGGGAGTCATGCACATATGTTGTGAGGTGTGGGTGTTTTCAAGTAAATATTTAATGGCTCCTGGTACATTTGTCCTGCAAACAATATTTGGAGGTTTCATATGAGTCTGGATAAAAAAGAAACAAAAATGAATTTTAAATAAACAATTGATGTGTGTATTAACAAAAACGAAATTGCATTAATATGGACACAGTTGAAAAGGGAAAACTAGACATTAAAAACTTAGCTATTTAAGAATTGTGTGTATATGTGCATGTGTGTGAGTGTGTGTGTGTGTGTGTGTGTGTGTGAGAGTTCAGTCATCAGTCAACTGGGTAAAGGAATGTTTCTCCGTGGGAACACCTTCTTCTATGTTCTGTTACATCTTAGAGTAAGAGGAAGAAAGAGGAAGGAAATGTTTGTTTTTATTATGTTTTATAACTTAAACAGTACCAATTCATGAGTATTTAGTGAAGTCAAGTGAGGTAACCTACAGTAGTGATAGGCTTGCAATATTGTGACTGTGAGAAAGAGGATGCACAGTGGAAGAGTCATCACTATCAAGACTGTGTAAACAATTTTGAACACTATCAAGACTAGAAAGTGAGGGTTGAGCAGCTCTTGCCCAAATATGGCAGCAGTACACCATTTCTGGCCTATTAGTAAAGATACAATATGGCAGAAGACATCTGATATTTCCTGGAATGATATAGTGAGCTGACCATTTTTCCAGCTTCTTTAGCAATGGATTGTATATACAATTTCTACTTGAGGTCTGAAGTGAATCTGAGACCCAATATCTGTTAACAGTTTCATTAAGGGTGGAGGCATTCATTTTGTCTTAGAGAAAACTCAAGACCTAGTGATGAAATGATACTCACTTGTTTTTTGAGGTTCTTAAGGGAGAGATCAGTTGCAAAGCGCCAATCATTTTGTGTAAAAGATATAGTCATGTATAGGGTTTATTTGTATGCCCACATTGTACAAGTTTGATACAAGGTTAATTTT